TAGGTTGGTTGCCTAGAAGCAACATTGCAACAGTGGAATGGATTTAGCCAGTCACAAGGCAGGTCTCGCCACTTCAGGGAACACGGCTCCGTCATTTCTTCTCATTGTTGCACAATGTTGCCTCAAGGCAACGTACTCCAAAAGGACCCCAGCACACCTTATTATTAATAGTTTTTTGTATGTTTTTTGTTTTGAATAAACACGTCCAAAAAAAAAAATCAAGGATCATTTTATGCAAGAAAAGTGAACTGAATTTCTTTTTTTAATTGCTCTCATAATGCCTGCAGTAGAGGGTTAAGCACCACTTCCATTCCTTTTGGGAGACTTGCTTTCAGTTTTTCATAGAAATCTGCAGGGATATAGTTCCACATCTCCAAAGTTCAGTCTTACAACTTGATTGCGTTTCCTGCTTCTCACAATCCAAGTAATCCCAAACACATTCAGTAACTTTGAGGTCTTTTTTTGTCTAGTTTCCTTTCACTGTATTGGCTTCTTGACAGCTACACATCCTATCAGAGTCATAGCGTTGGGTTCTTCTCACAGAGGAAGGATGAACAGAATCAGAGGTGGATTTTTTTCCGATCTGAAGCAACAATGGAGCTTGATTTTCTCTCAGAGATTAAAGTTTTTGACCCCTAAAATGTCCAGGGCCTGCTGGTGTGCCCAAAATTTTATAGCACACTTCTATAGCCTGAGAATAGCACAGCTAGTTTGCATTGCAGTCCATGTAGTTACTGAATAATAAGCCTTAATGTGTAATAAATGTGAGATTTTAAAGGGTTAAATTCTGTTTTATGTGAGGTGACAGTGTTGCACAGTTGCCAGGAGTCCCATTTTCTCTGTTTAATTTATTTTTAAACTCCAGTTTTGAAAACTACTGTTTTTTTCACTCCTGTTCCGCTGACGTTCTCCTTCCTTATGCAAGTGGATCATTATACAGTCGTATGTAATCGAGTTTTGTTGATGAGTGCAAATAGGTGAACACATCCTCTACAGAGAACATACTTCTGCACATCTTAATGCACAATTACTACTTTTTTAAATTACTATATTTGCTAAATTTAACATATTAGGGGAAAATTAAAACATTAAATATGGCCTGTGCACAATTTACGGCACATTTGATATGTTTTATTATTTTTTTAAAATATATCTTTTTCCTGTAGAGAATGCTGTGTGGGAGGTGGGTTATAGTGGGTTAATGTGTTGCTGTGCAGCATATGAGTTATTGTTTATACATTATATGGAAAGAGAAAGTTGAGCGTTTTCCTTCTAAACTCAGAAAAGAACCCAAGCAATTTCCCACATGAATCTTTCCTCCGCCGGCTTGTCATTCGCTTTCACACTGTAGGCTCTCTTTACACCCTGAGCGGAATATCCGAAAAATGTCAGCACAAGAAGATCCGTCTGTTTTTTCCACTGAGGAGAAAAAGAACATGATTGAGCTAAATCATTTATACATTTTGGCCATGCAGGACTGCAGACGTTCCGCTTCTCCTCTCCTGTTCTGCTGCGCTCTCTCTCATCTTTCTCTCCTCTGTGACTTATTTTTACTCAGTCAAAAGAAAATATAATTTAATGAAAAACAAGTAAATAAAATATCCAGACGCCTTGTAATAGAACTGTGAAGTGTCCAGGCTCATATTTTTCTTATGAGCATGAACATTTTACACTGTGTTTGAATTTGTTCCAATTAAGGTCGCAGATGAAACAGAATAGAAAAAATAACTTTCAATTTTCGAACATATTTAATCTCAAAATAAGAGATATGAAGTGACAGCAAAAGTTGCTTCTATCTGAACGAGCTTTACAGTGGGAGACGGTTTGAGGGTTGATCTGAAGGTTGATGCGGATTTCTATGACATTCCCCACGTCTTTTCAGAGTTTAATGCCTGAGGATTTGGATAGAAACACATGCAGACGTAATGCATAGGTTGACTTTTTATGCGGAGAAGAACATATAGTCAAGGCCAGACAGCCATAAAATGCATTATGCAGTTAGAAACACTATGCATTAAAGGGGAATTCCACTGATGTTTTTACATTTCCAGAAATAATGAAATGGTTGAGATGTAAACAAAGTCATTCAGAGTAGTTTGTGAAATGGTGCATTGCAGAGAAACGTATCAACTCAGATGTCTTTACAGTGGTGGCGATAGGAACCAGGGGTTGCAATGTCTTCAACACAATACAGCAGTTTTATTGGGGCAGTTGTGGGCTGGAGGTTAGGGATGGACCAGATGGTCGCCGGTTTGATCCCCTGAGCCAACAGTACGTGACTGAAGTGTCCCTATGCAAGGCACCTAACCCCGAACTGCTCACTGGGAGCTCCAGATAGGGCTGCCCACTGCTCTGGGCAAGTGTGCTCACTGCCCCTAGTGTGTGTGTGTGTTCACTAGTGTGTATGTGGATGTTTTGCTGCACAGATGGGTTAAATGTGGAGGTGAAATTTCCCTGTTGTGAGACTAATAAGCAAGCAAAGTTTATTTATATAGCGCTTTTTACAACAGGTGTTGTCACAAAGCAGCTTTACAAGGAAATCAGCTTTACAGAAAGAAATCTGGGTCCAAGCCCCCATGAGCGTCGCCAGTGGCGACAGTGGCAAGGAAAAACTCCCTAAGAGAAACAGGAAGAAACCTTGAGAGGAACCAAGACTCAGAAGGGGAACCCATCCTCCTCTGGTCGACACCAGATAGTAAACATTGTTAGTATAAAGTATTATAGTACAAAAACAGGGAAAACAGGTGGAGCAAATGATTAATTTGATTAGTTTAGTTCATGCAGCAGCAGCTGCAGCATCAGTGGGGTCAGGTTGTGAGGGTGAGGTTTGCACAGCGTTGTACAGCATGAAGCTCAATGGTGGTCAAGCCGGTCAGAGGGCTGGCAGCAGTGGCATCCGATCAAGGCAGAAGAAGCAACAGCATCAGACGCACAGGATGGGCAGCTGTTCAACTCGGCAAAGGAAAAGAAACACACAGAGAGTCAGTTCTGTAATGGGTGACTGATCACAGATTACAGTGTTAGCAGAGCAGCAGAGACTCCAGCAGGTCTAGAACTGACAGGGAAAACTAATTACCAAAGGCTCGACTATACAAGTACGTTTTTAGGCTAGACTTAAACACTGAGGCTGTGTCTGAGTCCAGAACATTAACAGGAAGACTGTTCCAAAGCTGGAAGGGCTTTGTATGAGAAGATCCCCCCCCGATGTAACTTTATTAATTCTAGGTACTAATAGTGAGCAGCACCTTGTGATCTAAGTAGGCATGATGGTTCATAGTGAGAGAGAAGTTCACTCAGGTACTGAGGGGCGAGTCCGTTTAGAGCTTTATAAGTCAGTAAGAGAATTTTATAATCAATGCGAAATTTAACTGGTAACCAGTGTAGCGTTGATAAAACTGGGCTGATCTGGTCAAACTTTCTGGTTCTAGTAAGAACTCTGGCTGCAGCGTTCTGGACTAGCTGAAGCTTGTTAAGGCTTTTGCTGGGACATCCAGCCAGCAGGGCATTACAGTAATCTAGCCTTGAAGTAATAAATGCATGAACTAACTTTTCTGCTTCCTGTAGAGAGAATGCATTTCTCAATTTAGCAATATTGCGGAGATGCAGGAAGGCTGTTCTAGTAATATTAGTTATATGTGCGTCGAAGGACAGATCAGGGTCTATAATGACACCAAGGCTTTTTACAGATGAGCTTGATGCAACTGAGAAATTGTTAAGTTTAAGTGTTAAATTCTAAGGGTCTCTTAACTTGCTGTCCAAAACCAGCAGTGAACCTACACTTCTTTTGAGTGTTCATACATATTGTTGATAATAGTAAAATAGTGGTAAATAAATTGGAACACTCTGAATGTACTGCTCTGCCATAAATGGACGTTTTAAAAATTAATTTAATGTCACATCTGTCATGAAACAATGTATGGGGCATCACACAACATATTCATCATGTGAAAACCAAATGTGAGGGAGCTTTAAGAAGCATTAAACTCTTCAGATGTCTGCTTCCTATAACCACCGCTGTCTATAAGTTCCTCTAGAATGTAGCATTTCACATCAATCCACCCTGAAAGACTTTGTTTGTATCTTTACAGTTTAGTTATGCAGACATTTTGAACAATCAGTGGAGTTTCCCTTTAACTTTCATTCTTGAACTTGCTTTATTTTTTTAGTTTAAACGTTTAAAAGGCCCAGTGTGCATTAGCTCTGCTTTGAAAGAGCAAATCTCAACCATGTACAAAATGGTTGGCACAGAACAAAATTAATATTTCATAGTCAGATTTCAGCTATAACAATATGGCATTAGGCTTGTTATCAAATTGGCATTAAGAAGCGGTTATGGTGAGGCTCATAGTTAGCCATTGAAGGACAATATAACCTTGTATGGCTGAAGCGGGCATTTGAAACACAATACAAATTTGCTCTGAGAGTGGGCTAATAGCCAGTCAACAAATCTGGGAGAGCCGGACGTCGTTGCCGGAGAAAGCAAATTACGGAAAGAGGATTGGATAATAGGTTTATTCAATAGGCAGAATTGCAGCAGCTTGATGACAGCTGGACGTTTAAGTTGATTAACATGAAATAGTGGTGGAATCGCGATGAATGGGTGGAAGACACAAAAGTAATTCCAGTGAAAATGTGAATAAAATTTCATTAGGCTCTTATTCAATTTCAGGATTCATTTATCGGCTTAAAATTCCGTGAGCCGTAAAAAAATTACAAACAGATTGCCAACCCAAGGATGGAGACGTGCAGGATATTAGACTGACCTAGCTTGTAAAGCCTTTTTACAGAGTGAAGCCTTCAAAAACCTCCAGAATCTCTCAGGGATTGAGGTCAACGTGGAATCAATTCCTACAAGCAGATAAGAGGCCGAGGTTGATTCTCCTCAGGAGATGGGGAGACGATAAACCAAACCAATTGCCTGTCTCATCTGCCCCTTACCAGGGAAAGGAGCCATGGCAATCAATATGCTAACTAGCCCTCTGATACTCCTCTCTTCTCAGGCACAAGGCCATCGTGAACCCCATGGACATCCAGACCTCCAGTGCGGTGTTCTGGACCTGCCTGAAGGCCATCTCCATCTGGGTAGTGTCTGTGCTGCTGGCGGTGCCCGAAGCCATCTTCTCCCAGGTGGTCCACATGTCCGACCGGAACGTCACCTTCACGGCCTGCGTGCCCTACCCGCTCTCCAACGAGATGCATCCCAAGATCCACTCCGTCATGATCTTCCTGGTCTATTTCCTCATCCCCTTGGGCATCATCTCGGTCTACTACTACCACATCGCCAGAACGCTAATCAAAAGTGCTCACGACATGCCCGGTGAGGTCAGCGAGCACTCCAAACGCCAGGTAAGACCTTCTCTGATATATCAGCTTCTTTTTTCCAGTCCCAAGGGGCTGTGGAATTTTACTGCTAATGAGATACCATATATAATTAGTGCTATAAGCATAAGGAGTTATTACCTCCTTCGATACCATTATGGCGAAAAATGTCTTGCTGAGATTCCTTCCTGGAATAATTTGGCTCCAGGATAGAAATTACTGCTTGGCATAAACACTGGACACCATACTTTATCATTATTGTAAAAAGTAAACAAACTAAATGGCAAAACTGTGTATTTATGTGGAAATGATGTTGAGAAGAGGGTGGCACAACCTGCCAATTTCAAAAGTATTAGAAAAATATTAATATATTTTTAATATAATGAACCTGAACATCTCTGCTACAAAAGAAAACATACTTTGTTTACGGCACCTGTTTATGAACAATTCAGTCAAAAGCAGATTGAGTGCAAACAGGGGGGTTAACTGTAACAGACTGAGGGTTTAGCTGTCACGGTTACTAAAAAGTCTGGTAAATCGATGCAAAACACACTTACGCCATTGATGACCAGGGCCCAACTTTGGCCACTGGTGGACCCAAAGTTTTGTTACATGCCTCTATAACCTAAGAACAGCTCAAGCAATTTGCTTTGAAGTCCCTGTAGTTACTGAATAATACAACCCCATTTCCAAAAAAGTTGAGACGCTGTGCAAAACATAAATAAAAACAAAAAGCAATTATGTGCAAATCATTTCAATCCTATATTTCATTGAAAATAGTAAAAAGACAACATATCAAATGTTGAAACTGAAAAATTGTATTGTTTTTTGAAAAATATTTGCCCATTTTAAATTTGATGCCAGCAACACGTTCCAAAAAAGTTGGGACGGGGCCAACAAAGGGCTGGTAAAGTTGTGTAATGCTTAAAAATCACCTGGTGGTTGACTGAACAGGTCAGTAACATGATTGGGTATAAAAAGAGTATCTCAGAGAGGCGGAGTCTTTCAGAAGTAAAAATCAGGAGGGGTTCACCACTTTGTGAAAGACTGCATGATCAAACAGTGCAACAATTCAAGAATAACGTTTCTCAGTGTAAAATAGTAAAGAACTTTTGCTTTTCATCATCTACAGTACATAATAACATTAAAAGATTCAGAGAATCTGGAGAAATCTCTGTATGTGAGGGACAAGGCCAAAAACCAGTATTTGCTGGCTGTGATCTTTGGGCCCTCAGGCAGCACTGCATTAAAACAGACATAATTCTGTAGTGGAAATCACTGCATGGGCTCAGAAACACTTCTGAAAAACACTGCCTGTAAAAACAGGTTGTCGCTGTATCCTCAAATGCTAGTTAAAACTCTAAAACGCAAAGAAGAAACCATATATAAACAGGATCCAGAAACTCTGCCACCTTCTCTGGGCCCGAACTCATTTAAAATGGAGTGAGAGGAAGTGGAAAAGTGTCCTGTGGTCTGACGAATCAACGTTTGAAATTCTTTTTGGAAATCATGGACACTGTGTGCTCCGGGCTAAAGACCACTCAGCTTGTTGTCAGTGCACAGTTCAAAAGGACAAAAAATATTTAAATCTTTAATTTCGTCGAGAATGTGGTTGGTTTCATCTTCACTCCAAAAGTGTTTTGCTGAGTGTCGTGGCGACACAACTCGCTTATTTCCGATACCGCAGTCTGATCTCGTGCACGCACAGTCTGAGAAATCTGAAAGAAATTAGAGTATGGTGTTTACATGACCATTTGAATAATCAGATAACTGCAGAAATCGGATTATTATTGGATTATTGAGTGCATATAAACGCACTGAATTACGTTAAAACATTACATATCTTGTCTTTGTACTGTTTTTGGTTTAAATACAGGTCAAAGCAGATTTACAAATCACTACTTTCTGTTCTTATTTTCTCATATTCATTTTTTTTTTGGAAAGTATTAGAAAAATTGGGTTTGTAGTTCATTTAGTATGTATTTAGTCTCGTTGTTTACTCTGGGAGACATTGTTGTAACACTGTGTTAAAGGGCTCATATGTCTGTGTAGCTTTATGTACTGAAAATAGTCATAATTCATTTGTACATGAACATTTTCCAACCACTGTTTATCCTGTATAGCTAATCAGACTGTTGTTGTTACTGTGCCTTTAAGACTGATATATGTAAATGAGCTCTGTTTTAACTGGCTGCCTTTTATTGTGCCTCATTAAAAAAGCTGTCTGGCCTAAATCACTCCTCATAAATTTCAGTGTGAGTGGGCGGGGCTAAACTGCCATAGGCTGAATAGGTGAAGACGTATATATATGTTTTTGTGACACATTACAAAACAGAAAATTCAAAACTGACTGTTTTGGCCACTTGGTTTTCGTATGTGGACTGTATGGAGTGGAGAGTGAAAGGTACTTATTGGAGCTTTTAATGTTTGCATTGTACATCGGAAGTGAGGAGAATTCAGTTCTCTATGATAAAGACCCTTTAAAATGAACCCCGCTGTGTGGAGGCTGTACCTTAGCCTGGCTGCCTCTCACTCTGAGTTGTTTAGATACTTAAATTAATAGATGATGTTGCTATGGCAATATCAAAAGCACATTCTACTCGAACCTGTTTATCTACGTTACATTTTACCCCACGTTAGGTTGTGCCTTCTTTCTCACACAAGTCTGAATGCAGTATGACTTATAACACTGCATTGTAACGATTATGAATGTCATTACATAAAACGGCATAATTTCATCTGTTCACCAAAGCCGCCGTTTTGAAGCCTCAGGATAATCGGTCTCATTCAGGGTCTCTTTTAACAGGAAACACATGCTGGAAGTCAATTTGCTAATAGCGTGCTGTTATATTTGGCCAAATGGATGCATTGATTTGTCTGTAGGGGGTCAGCATGCAACTGGTGGGTCTGCAGGCAGTTTGGAAGAGTAAAAATGTGACTGAACTCCACAATCTCTGCAGGGAAAGCTTTATCACTCAAAAAAGGAAATATTGTATTTACTTATATTACTAATGAGATACTTGACTGAGTAATATGTACTTCACAGATTCAGGTCTATCACATTGCAGTTATTTGAGTAAATTCTGATTAACTGGACTGATTATTTTTATGTATTATCCAAAAATGAAATGTTGGATTGGACTGGATGTGCCAAGTGTTTCCACACAACTATGTTACACAGCTTTTAAGATGTTCAGTTGTGTAATATGTACTTAATCAGTGCAGCACTGGTAGCCAGCCACCCCGAGTCCTCTCCCTTCTTTCCCACACCTCTCTCAACTTCAGCCGTGGTGACCGATTTTCCACTCGCTAAGTTATTGTTGGTAATTTTGCTGAGCCGGGTAGCCCAGCCGCTTCCCTGCACTCAATACGGGTGTGTGATTTCTGGTGTTTGGTTTAAGGCTAAGGTGTTCCTGTGCTGTGGTGATCCTTGTCCGCCTATCTGGATATGAATCAGTAAAATGGTTATGGTGATCAACTTCGAATTATGTTTGCTCATCTGTTTTCTGATTTGGGCTGCTGGCTTTCGGTTTGTGTTGTCTTCCTTCGATGAGGATCACATATTCATCAAGTGAATTAAAAAGCTTAAATACGCATGACCATCTGGAGCCTGTGGCTCGTCAGCCAAAGTACATCCACGGCTCTCCCTCAGTTCTGTGCTTCGTAGGGCTGCATCCCAGTTATTCGATCACACAAGCAAACTTCTAGGAACAGATCAAACAGAAACGGAGTTAACCATGAGCTTCTTCACTCATTCTGCAGAATGGAGACCACAACTTCAACTTCCTCCAAAACGTCAACCATAAACCGTGCTAAAATAGGCCTTCTGAACAACATAACTACTAGGGCATCACTGATAAATGATTTGATTGCTTAGAACAATCTAGATTTGCTTCAGCTGACTGAAACTTGGCAACAGCCTTAGGACTGCTTCCACTTAACCCCTTGTGTGGTGTTGGTGTTACTCGGTGGTCTGCTGGACCCACCACATTATTGTTTATTTACATCAATACAGCCAAAACAATTTATGTAAAAATACCAGATGTATCACAAGTGTCCAGCAGAGGGTTCTCCTTTAGCAGCTGTAGCCAATCAGCAGCCTGTCCATGTTGTCCACCTGCACACACACACATATAAGGACACAGCACCTCCACACTTTTACTCCCCGCTGGGTTCAGCCCAACACCACATGTGTAATATAAATGTGTGGGGGGTGAACAGAGTGAAGACACTGAAAATGGGTTATTTTATATGTCCTTCACAGAAAATGAACAAAGGCCAAGAATCTGAGGCTGAAATAATAATAAATCACATCATTTTTTATTTTGGGAAACATTGAAAATGGGTCCCACAGACCTGAACACCACACAAGGGTTAAGACTAAGGTGTTTCCACGCTGTGGTGATCCTTTTCCGCCTATTCGGATATGATGAATAAAATGGTTATGACGATCAACTTTGAATTATGTTTGCCCATCTGTTTTCTGCTTGAGCTGCTGGCTTTCGGTTTGAGTGGTGTTGTCTTCCTTCAATGAGGATCACATATTCGTCGAGTGACTAAAAAGCCTAGATATGCATGACCATCTGGAGCCTGTGGCTTTACGTTATGTCAGGATATACATGTATGTCCAAGCCTCGTCTCACAAGTAAAGAGGGGGTCTAGCTGCAGTTTTTCCAAGCAGTTTGAAGGTTAAAGGAGTGCTTTTTCATAATGTTACTTCCTGCAAATATTTGGCTTTGAAGGTTTCCTCCCACACTCCATTGCTTCTGTTGTTAATCTGTCATCCTCCCAAATCTGCTTCTCTATTTTTCGTTGGATGTATATGAGCTGCTTACAAAGGCCTCATCCATCTATTCTGCTGTTCTATGTCACTGGGTGACTTATTTTTGTTGACACAAACTGCTCACTTTCCTCTGAGCTCCTTGCAGTGGTAACACTTTCTATGAATGTCACATTTATAAGCATCTATAAACACATTCATAACATGTTATAATGTATTCATAAGGCATTATAAACATGGCTATAAA